CAAATCTGCACCATGCAGGACAAGGAAGCGATAGTGCCAGTTGATCCCTGCTGGATCCAGGTAGCTTTTACTCTGTCTATTTCTTGGTCCCAAAAAAGACTGGGGACCTTCATCCATTTCTAAAACTCAGGGGACTGAACTCATTTCTGAAGGACATGCGCTTTCGCATACTGACAACCAAGAGAGTCTTGCAGGCTATCTCCCGGGACGATTGGTTTACATCAAATGACCTAAAGGATGACTATCTTCATGTCCCCATTGCAATGGTTCACTGGTGGTTTCTCCGATGTCCCCCAGGAACTGGAATTGCCCACCCCTTTATTAGACTGTGCCCCTCCAATGCCTTGTGGGTATACCAGTATACCAGGAAAATGGAGTTATGCAACCTTTCATATGGGCTATTGGGTCTCTGTGCAGAAGTTTGGCTCTGATTTTTAGGTATTAAGTCAGCCCTTTTCCCGTTGCATGTTGGACTTCAGCAGGGCAGGAGTCCAACATGCAACGGGACCTATATAATCTCTATGAAAAGGGATTTCTTGGTTCATCCAAAGGCTGGAGGGGGGGCTGGTTGGAAGACGAGCAGAATTCCTCTCTGCGTTTTGCAAATGATGTGGTTCTGCTGGATCCCTCATGCCAAGACCTAAGCCATGCACTGGGTTTTCACAAGTGAGTCAGAAGTGGATGAAAAAGTAATCAGCTGAAAAAGGCATCACACTCAAGCCTAACCCCTTCTCCACCCTCCTCTTGGGTGGTTCTAACTCAAACCAACCAGGGTTCTAAGATCTCTTATCCTAACAAGTATGACCATGCTTAAAGTTCCTATGAGACTTGCCTAATGAGGATCACCATCTCTTTCCTTTGCCATGGTCAGACCTCACGGGTCAAACCATTTTCTAGCAGCTGACAGCTCTCAGTGACTTTCTGAGAGACTGAATAATTATCAATATTTTCAGATGATTTAACTGTTCTCAGGTTTTTCCTGTTGTATATAAGTCTCTGTTTTCCATTTGCCTTGTGCACTGTTGCCATCTTATTGTCATTTATTTCCTGTAAAGTTTGTAATTTTCATTTAATATTCCTCCATCTCTTTTTACTGCTTCAGGCCTTTAAATTCATGACAGTAAAGCCAAGCGCCAACTGTGCAACCTGAGGGTTGTCGTTTCAAGCCCCAGCTATGCCTTTCAGTGTTGTAGTGTCCTTGGCAAGACACTTCACCTGCATGATGGTGGTCGGAGGTGGTTGGCGTTTATGGCAGCCTCGCCCTTGTCAGTGAGTCCCAGGGCAGCTGTGGCTATAATATAGCCTGTCACCATCGGTGTGTGAGTGTGTGCCTGAATGGGTGAATGACTGAATGTAGTCAAGACCTCTGACTTGAAAAAGCGCTATATACAGTACAGGCCATTTACCATTCCCAAAAGGGACATAACGGGCAGGAGCAAATTATCTTGTTGCAGTACCTCAATCGGCACCTGAAGATGGCATCTTCAGTGGAGCAGTTTCGTCAGTAGGCAAATTGGAATGGGTCGAATGTTGGGGGGAGAATTGAGGCGCCTTTAGCACCGGAATGATGGTGGCAGACTTAAAGCATGCAGACACTATGGATTGGTCCAGCGAGATGTTAAAAATGTCCGTCACTGCTGGAGTGCTGTATAGTGCCTCAAACCTTCCATTGAAGTTATTTTGTTCATTTAGGAAATCAGCATTTGCTGCATCTACCAGGAGGGAGGGTGCTATACTCAGTAATCGCCTGTATACCTTGCCACATCTTCCTAGTGTTGCTGACATCATGGAAGAGATCCTGGATCTTTCGGCTGTGGTTCTGCTTTGCAGATCTGATAGTACTGTTCAAGTTGGCACGTCCTGTCCTCAATGCCTCTTTATCACCAGACTTGAAAGCTGAGTTCCATGCTTTTAGCGATTTCCGAACCTCCCCATTCATCCAGGGTCATTGGTTGGACTCGGATGGTGATGTTCTTTGTTTTGCTGATGTCCTCAATGCATTTGTTGATGAGGGCTGACACAGCCATGGGATACTCATATATATATATATATATATATATATATATATATATATATATATATATATATATATATATATATATATATATATATATATATATATATATATATATATATATATATATATATATATATATATATATATATATGTGTGTGTGTGTTTTTTTTTAAATACCGTATTTTCACGACTATAAGGCGCACATTGGTGCCCTTTGGTGCGGTGCGCCCTATGTGTGTTGTAACTGCGACTTTTGAGACCACCTCATTGAGGAGATGATGAAAGAGTGGCTCACTGTAAGGAGACCAGGTGTTTTTTTTTTTCCACTCATCACCACACCATTGCTGTTAATCTGACTTCATGCGTGCCCATCTCACAGCTGATGTGGAAAAACATGGTGAAACAAGTTAATGCTGTGCTCTCTGTGAACCGGACGCAGCAGAAGCAGCGAGTTTACATGCAAAGTCAACGGTTGACGAGCGTATAGACGCAGCAAAAGGTCCTGCAGCGCGTTTTGGGCAGCAGGCGCAGCACGTCGGGAGCGCGCTGCCAACACGCTGCTGCTGCTCGAGATGGAAAAATTGAAGTTTTGCTGCTGGAAGCGCCGCATCAACCAATCAGAGAAGCTGATCTGGGAGCTGACAGCGAGACAGACACATCGCTCTGATGACATATGATATTAAAGCAAATGAAAGGGCTGGATGGATGAGGAGATGATGAAAGCGTGGCTGAGGCAGGTGTATGTGAGGAGACCAGGTGGTTTTTTCCACGCATCACCATCGCTTTTAATATGTGACTCCATGCGTGCCCATCTCACAGCTGATGTGAAAAACATGGTGAAAAAAAATTAACGCTGTGCTCGCCGTTATCCCGGGAGGTCTGACAAAGGAACTCCAACCGCTCGACATCTGTGTGAACCAGCCGTTCAAAGTAAGGCTGCGAGCGGCGTGGGAGCGATGGATGACCGACGGAGACCACAGTTTCACGATAAGTGGAAGGCAGCGCCGGGCAAGTTACGCCACCGTTTGCGGATGGATTGTTGATGCTTGGACTAACGTGTCTGCTGGCACTGTTGTTCGAGCTTTTGCAAAAGCCGGCATTATTTCTGAGGAGCCGCGCTGCACGGAAAGTGACTCTGACAGCGAAGAAGGGGAAATTGGCATGTCTGATTTAGCGCAGCTGTTTAATTCAGAAACAGAGGATGATGACTTTGATGGGTTTGATTAATACTTTGTAATAAATACATGAATAAAGCACAAACATAGCCTACTCAGTTTTGCTCCCCCTCTATTTTTCTACCTGAAAACTTAATTCAACAGCAGCCTCTGGGCCGGGTCTCCTCCGGGTTCACCGCGGCGGCTGGCAGGTGTTTTTCCATCTAAATAATCTAAATCTTACAGCTATATTTGCTGTGATCAGTGGGAATAAAGTAGTTTTAATATGTTTTTAAGTGAGAAAGTCCACCTGAAAACTTAATAATTGCAGTCAGTTCATCCAGATTATCATCGTGCCTATAGGCTACTATTTCTGTCGGAGGCGCTCAGACCCCCACATACCAGCGGTGCGCCGACAGTAGAAATCACTTCATCAGCAGCCTCTAGGCCGGGCAGCCTCCGGGTTCACCGTGGCGGCTGGCAGGTGTTTTTCATCTAAATAATTTAAACTGCAGGCACCAGGATACCGGTAATAAAAGCGAACATATTCCGTCGGCAGGTTTCAGGATTTTAAGTTAATTTAGGAGTAATCACAGTGCTCTGTCATCTGCGATGTGTCTGTCTCACGGCCAGCTCCCAGGTTTGATTAATACTTTGTAATAAATACATGAATAAAGCAGAGTCATACTCAGTTTTGGGCCCGCTGTATTTTTAAATACTCAGTAGAGGTATTTAAAGGTAGTAGAGGACATGTACCTGTATATAAAAAACGCGCCCTATAGTCCGGTGCGCCTTATGTGTGTGTTAAATACAGAAATGGCACACATAACTGAGACTGCGCCTTTTAGTACGGTGCGCCTTATGGTCGTGAAAATACGGTAGGTTGCTGAAGCTTTTATCTTTTTTAACAGTCAGAGCATCCAAAACAGTCTTGGAGCTTCTGCATGGCCCCCTCGCACCTAACTCTGATTTCTTTGTCTGCAAGTTTGGCCCTGATTAGCTGGGGCCTGTATGCAGGAATTAGCATGACAGAAAGGTGATCTGATGACCTGAGTTGGAGGTGGGGTGCTGCTCTAAATGCATCTGTGATGTTACAGTAAACCAGATCTATATTGTTTTCACCCCTGAATTGCAAAGTCCAGATCTTGGTAGAAATTAGGGAGCACAGTTTTTAAGTTAGCCCGGTTAAAATCCCCAGCATATTGAAAATGCCTTCTGTGTGTGGAGACTGAAGCTAAGAGATAGCCTGATGAAGAATCTTCATGCCCTCTTTTGTTCATATTAAGCTGCTAACACCTGGAGGAAACTCAAAATTTTGGGGAGAGTTTCTAGTTAAACAATATTTATTTTAATAATTTTCATAATTTCATATGTTTATTGATGAGTAAAGACAAAGCTAACATGATAGAATGCATGGTACACTATGCCAGAGTAATATATTTTTAGCTGTTGTTATAAAGTTAGAGCAAGCTTTATTTCACTAAGGGATTAAAACACTAATAAAACATTAAAGTTCATACCTTTTGATTACCAAATTATGACAAAAAAAGTAATCTAATGGAATCCTCATTTTTGCTAACTGCTACCTTACTCAAAGAAGACTAAGAATCATTTAACTAATGATGATTGATTTCCAATATAATCATTTAATAAAACATTATTTGGCCAAAAAAATCTTTTATTTGTGTCATGGATTTGCATTGTGAATTGGTTTGAAAACATTCCAATTGCTCAACTGGGTTAATCTTGGTTTGTGTGATTCTAAGCATTATTATTAGAGGGAAACATACACATGTGAATCATGTTCTTAGCTAAGAGTTTGTTCTCACCATGGTGGTCTTAATCCGGCCTCCTGGTTGTGTACAGGTCCAGCCGGACTGATTGTCCAGAAGGTTACAAGCCTCATCATCCAAACATGGAGCCATCTCACACCATTGGTGATTCCTGATGATTTGAACTAAGGAGAAATTAACAAACAAATGAGGTCAGTTATTCCTTGTTTTTGAGGTTCTACTTTAGACAAAATTTTTACCCAGTCTCTATACTAAATGACAAAGGTCAATTTAAAATTATGGTAAGAATAAAGGATCGAACATAACACACTGTGTGAAAACATAATTCTGTGAAATTTTATTTGTTAATCAGAGGTAACACAATATTTAATTTAACTATATTTACTCATTTAATACAATGTGATTTTAACTTATGTGAACTATGTAACCTTAGTGACTGAACTCATATGCTGTGTTTAGGAATGCTTGTTGAGAAGGGAGGATGTCTCTGCTTGCAAAACATTATTTTGCTCTGTTCTTAGGTAGGTCAGGTTCTTGGAACATTAATAACCCTAAGTGAGGTGAAAATGAGTTTTTCCCCCATGATCCTCTGTGTAAAGAAGATGAGGCTTTTCTCCCTTGAACAACTCTTTGTTAGGAGTGGATAACAATTTGGTATGATGGAAGACGAAGCTGATAGGACATTCAGGCATGTAAATCACATTGCTTATACTTTTGAGCCCATTTGCAATGTAACTTGAGGTTTAGTAAGAGAGAAGAGGTAACTGTCGAGCTGGTGGCTGTAGAGCTTCTGGTATATTTATTTCTTTATGTCATTGTTAGAGACTTAGAATTAGATAGATTTATTTTGTCATTTTGTATACAGAAGTGTAAACAAAAAGAAATCTAGAGGTCTTTCACTGTCAGTACATTGTAGTGGCCTTTCAACCATTATTAGGGTTATCCTTATTGATATTGCCTGAGTTTGTTAAACCATAATATTACCTGCATGTTGCATGTCAGAAATGTTTTACTAAATAGTTTATCTAATTAATTAGGACGGCTACTCGGTCAGGACAAAAGTCATCATCATTATGCAAGTGGCAAAGATTTGGGAATGGAATAAGAGCAGCGTCCTGATCTAAAAACAAATTGTAATATTTTGGTAAGGCTGGAGCCATGACTGTCTCCTCATCTGCAAACTTGTATGATATAATGATGTGATGATATGGCATACTGAAGTTTTAAAATGCTTCTCTAACTGTGAGTTGTGGCCACTTCATGAGATGTGTGCCAAGTAGGTAAGCACTACCTTCTGTAATTCAAAGCAACTTCTCTGATCTGAGTAAGATTACAATTTCATTCAAAATCTGTCGTCATATCTCATGGTTATTTGATACATATACATTATGAGGTGTTATTTAAAGAGTTTGTCCCAAGTGATCTCTTTTCAGTAAAATACCTGGAGAGAAAGCTTCAAGGTGTAAACACAGAGCTTTCAATAGCACCATACAATTCCTTTCCAAGTTCTGTGTTTCCTATCCTCCATGGTTCTGACTTTACATGGACTTGTTGTCTCTAGGTCCCTGGGGGTCATCAACATCTCTACACTGATATCCACCCAGTAGGCTTCTCTTTTCACTTCTGTTTAGACCTCGTCCCGTCACCCCACCACCACCACCACCAGTTGGCATTTGATGTCACTGCTGAACCCCACAGGAATCCTTATTTGACTATTAATTGTTGGCCCAGATCTGTGAGAGCAGAGACAGGCAGAATGATTAAGGGGACAATGCAGGTCTGAGAGCAGGTCCAGAGTCAAAGCTAGATGATCAGAAATCCAGAGACAATCCAGAGGAGAACCTGAGAGCGAGGTCAAGGCACAGAACGCAGGTCAGAGATCCACAAACAGACAATGGCAGGTCCAATAGGATTCAGTCAGGCTCATAGAATCAGGAGGCAGAATTGGGTCTTAATCAGGCAGACAAGTTTAAAGGAATACTGGATAAAATTGACAGATGGCTTGTAGTAATCTGGTTCTAATAACTGGTCTGAGAACTGGTTATATAGTCAGGGAAGCGATGAGTCTGTAAAGGCTGATTGGAAATGGGGTGGAGCTGACAAGTTTGTTGAATATTAAATCAGACTAGCACTAGTACCAGGAATCATGAAAGATGGCTGGCATTTGGATTTATTGTAAGAGTTCTGAGATGTCTGCAGTGTGGATTGGCTTTTTTGGGCCGGTCAGCACTGGCTAGTTATATCTGCTTGCTGTTCTGCACCCCTGCTTGGATTCCTTTTTTCCCATTATCATAGCTTTGTCGTTGCTGTAACATCTCACTTCACACTCAAATTTCATCTTTGAGGTTTCTCTTACTGGCAGCTTTCTGAAGTTGATGTGGCCTGTCCTGTTTAGTGTGACCTCTCTTCATTCTTTAAGATATCCTGATGGAGAATTCACCCACTTCTTGTAAGCTCACACTGCTGTGAGGGTTTGATCTTTGTCCAGACTGTATTTAGTTCTCCCGATACAATAGTCTTGTCAATCGGCTTTATCTATGACTAATTAGTGTTGCTGTGCAGTTTTGTGTTTGCCCACAGGGTTTCCGGTCACTTGCCACAGGTTTCTAGCTTGTCAGAGGACCAGATATCCATATTCCGTTCGGTGGTAGGCTGGGAGCTATGGTTAAAACTATCTCTGTACTGTAAGTGTTGATCCAAACAACACCCTCTTTGCTTTACCTGGTATCCGGCCCGTGGATGTACCTTGTAGTCTTCTCAGTCAAATTTTATACATGCAAAGAGAGACATCAAATCCTTGACAAAACATGCTGAGTGTACTGTGTCATCAGTGTGCTTACAAGTCGTGACCCCCTACAAATGGACTTACTGGAGGTGAGAGCGATTCAAAGTTATGCTGTGCCTGTGGTTTGAGGTGCATTTCTCAGGTGAGTGCCACTATGCTGTTTCTATGTTAAAGGGGCGCTACTGCCTGACCCAGGACAGAGGGGGGAATGTTATTTGTGTATTTTCCTGTCTCTACCTGTAGTTCAGCTGGCCTTATACCTTAGCTTTGTTAACTTTGAAGATACTGCAGCATGGGTATAAACATTTAGAAGGAAGTGGATAGTCAGAATAAAGTAATTAAGGGGAAAGATTTAATGTGATCGACCATTATGTCATTGCAAATGGAAAAATATACAAAATGTTCTTGCCATACATGCAGGGGGCTGGTTCATGACCCGCCTCTAACCTAGGCCTGACCAGTATGTCCCCCCTATAAATAGGCATGGTCAAAACTAAGCCTAATCCCTCCCTCTCCTCAACTTCTCTAAGGGGCTACAGCTCTTAAACAACCAGGTTTCAATTAACCAACTTAACTATAACTAAGCTGTGTACCTAGGGAGAGCCTTTAAAATATTTTGGGAAGCAGATAGACCTGTAAAACAGATCAGATAAATGTTTAATGAATGTCTTTGAATCCTGGGCAAGGAAGTTGATTTTGTGAAAAAAAAAACTCTTCTCTAACTTAGCTGCAGCTGAAGTCAGAGTCTTAGCTATTTGCTCTTTTTAATCAGCTGTGACAGACCTCTGTCACAGCTCTGTCACAATAAGGAAATGAAATTATCTGAATGGCCTTAAGCAGGGCAGAGGGAGGGGACACAGAAATAGCTGGCATTTGCCACCAATGCCTAAGCTTAGTGGCCATCATGTGTTTTCTATTTGTTTGAGGGGTACTACTGTTAAAGAAAAAACTTTCCGTGCCACTTTCCTGTGAGACAGACTCTGGGATTGAGTTAGAACATTCTTTTGAATGTCTAAACATCGCACTATCAGTTTATTAGGAAGAGATTCAATATGTGTACTTATGAAATATCACCTTTTTAGAGCTCCTGGTACAATACATTTTCAGACAAATTGAGTTCTACAAAATTGTTTTTGGAATAAATATAATGCAGCGTTTTCTGTTTCTCTGACTGCTGCACAGGATGCTTTTTTCTAATTGGTGATTATCCACGTGTCTTAAGCATAGCCCTATGACATGCAATGAAGGGATGTGGATGAAATTGTTTATCACTGCCTAACGGCCATGTCACAACTTGCTCATTTATAAAGCATGTGCCCTATGTCCTAGAATCTTCTAAAATGCTGGCATACGCTGAACATGTATGTATTTTTTTAATTTGGGGAATATACATAGCGTATTCATAATGAGTCCAGAACTTATGTCCAGCGACAGCCTAACTTACTGCGATTATTAAAGTACAGGTGCTGGTCATAAAATTAGAATATCATGAAAAAGTAGATTGATTTCAGTAATTCCATTTAAAAAGTGAAACTTGTATATTATATTCATACATTACATACAAACTCATATATTTCAGATGTTTATTTTGTTTAATTTTGATGATTACAAATGACAACAAATGAAAATCTCAAATTCATCATATCAGAAAATTAGAATATTACTGAAGACCAATAAAAACAAAGGATTTATAGAAATGTTGGCCAACTGAAAAGTATGAACATGAAAAGTATGAGCATGTACAGCACTCAGTATTTAGTTGGGCCTCCTTTGGCCTGTATTACTGCAGCAATGCGGCGTGGCATGGAGTCGATCAGTCTGTGGCACTGCTCAGGTGTTATGATAGCCCAGGTTGCTCTAATAGTGGCTTTTAGCTCTTCTGAATTGTTGGGTCTGGTGTATTGCATCTTCTTCTTCACAATACCCCATAGATTTTCTATGGGGTTAAGGTCAGGAGAGTTTGCTGGCCAATTAAGAACAGGGATACCATGGTCCTTCAACCAGGTACTGGTAGCTTTGGCACTGTGTGCAGGTGCCAAGTCCTGTTGGAAAATGAAATCTGCATCTCCAAAAAGTTGGTCAGCTGCAGGAAGCATGAAGTGCTCTAAAACTTCCTGGTATGTGGCTGAGTTGACCCTGGACCTCAGAAAACACAATGGACCAACACCAGCAGATGACATGGCACCCCAAACCATCACTGACTGTGGAAACTTTACACTGGACTTCAAGCAACGTGGATGAAGTGCCTCTCTTCTTTTCCTCCAGACTCTGGGACCTTGATTTCCAAAGGAAATGCAAAATTTACTTTCATCAGAGAACATGACTTTGGACCACTCACCAGCAGTCCAGTCCTGTTTCTCTTTAGACGCTTCTGACGCTGTCTGTGGTTCAAGAGTGGCTTGACACAAGGAATGCGACAGCAGAAACCCATGTCTTTCATACGTCTGTGTGTGGTGGTTCTTGAAGCACTCACTCCAGCTGCAGTCCACTCTTTGTGAATCTCCCCCACATTTTTGAAGGGGTTTTGTTTCACAATCCTCTCCAGGGTGCGGTTATCTCTCTTGCTTGTACACTTTTTTCGACCACATCTTTTCCTTCCCTTCGCCTCTCTATTAATGTGCTTGGACACCGAGCTCTGTGAACAGCCAGCCTCTTTAGCGATGACCTTTTGTGTCTTGCCCTCCTTGTGCAAGGTGTCGATGGTCGTCTTTTGGACAACTGTCAAGTCAGCAGTCTTCCCCATGATTGTGTAGCCTATAGAACTAGACTGAAAGACCATTTAAAGGCTTTTGCAGGTGGTTTGAGTTAATTAGCTGATTAGAGTGTGGCACCAGGGGCCATCAATTTTGAACCTTTTCACAATATTCTAATTTTCTGATATGATGAATTTGAGATTTTCATTTGTTGTCATTTGTAATCATCAAAATTAAACAAAATAAACATCTGAAATATATGAGTTTGTATGTAATGTATGAATATAATATACAAGTTTCACTTTTTAAATGGAATTACTGAAATCAATCTACTTTTTCATGATATTCTAATTTTATGACCAGCACCTGTATGTCTGATTCTGATTTTGAATGCACGGAAGTGTCATGTATAAGCATTGGTTAAAGCTGCCCCCCGGAGGCACCAGGTCTGCATGAAAATACATCTTTCATCACGGTATTATATGTTTGCTGGCTGGGTCTGAGTTGTGGCCCATCCAAGGCCCATCATAAACACATCTGGCAAAACACTTGGAGGAAACTCAGGATGAATATAGCTGAGCCCCGGGTGGGTAACCCAAGTGGATGCCAAATTTTATTGCAAAACCCATTTGGGCCCCACATATTTGTTGGTTGTGCCTACTATAAGTCATATCATAAACAATTTTAGGTAAATAGACTGGGGACCACCATAGAAACTGATGAAAAAATAAGCTTGGTGCCAGTTGGTTTTCCACATGGGCCAAAAATATTAGGCCTACTGTGCCCCATTTGGCCCCATCATGTCAGTAGGGCCCAATTTAGAGCTGTTGGAATGTGTTCAGACTAATTCACAATGCAACTTCATAAGGTAAATAAAAAATCCTTTGCTCAAATAAATGTTATGAAATTATTTGCCTAATCAGAAACCATTAACCGTATAACTAATTGGTTTTTAACCTTATGTGATTCTTCTTAAGGGAATAGTAATGGATAGGAGTCCTTATTCCCCCTCACAGCATAGCATGTATAGGACATTACAAAATAATAACAAAAAAACAACAAAAGAGTACATAAATCCTGCCAAATGTAAAATATTATTTAAATTGTTAACCAGTATATTCCTTAGCCTAGGTGAGGAAACCTGACAGCCTGCAGAGCAAAACTGAGTAGTAGCCTACTGGGGAAACCTCAGAGAACATCAAAGCCTACACGCTCTGAATGCTCTATCAGTACCAGCCCTTCACAGGATAAGACCTTCACCAATACATTTAGAACCTATCAACCAAAAGCTTACCAAGCTGAATGCCAGACAGACCCTGGTAGAATTTATGCAAAAGGAATTTCGAAACCTGAAGGAATCTCTTTAATATAGCCAAGAGCAGCTATGGTAGGAACTGAGAACAACATGCTTTAAAAAAAGCTTCATGGTTGATGTAGTTCTTAGGGGAAAACATGAATGCGGTGAAGATGATTGCCGTTTTCCAGCCAAAAGGTATGCAAGATAATCTTGTTTTTTGTGCCGTTCCTAAGTCCACAGAACAACATCCAGAGTTGACAGTGTAAAACTGTCTTAAACAAGAACTCAACATGTCAAGGGGGATGTCAAGTCCCTGTGACTCTGAGGACTCTGAGGGTGTGACGCTAATGCGTGGCATTGATTGTTAAGGCAGTACAGCTTAGGTAGGACCTGAATAGAGCCATTGTCCCACTGCTACAATGGCTAGCCTGCCCCTATTTCTATGAGCACCTCCAGGATTCACAGTTTCATACACTAGTCTATTTCACCTGTCTTTGAAGCTGTACTGCTCTAACCATGTATGTAAAAAAGCACCGATTCCAAAGACATTTTTGACACAATCCTGCCAGAAGGCTTTTCAGTCTGAGCACCTAAAGTCTATGGTGAGAGCATAGCCTGACTGAGGTGCAAAATATTTTTTCCCTCTGAGATGCAAACAGTTTGACCAGTTATGCTCATTGACCAATGTCATCACGTTGCTGCTGTCCGGGTGTCCTTCTTGCACAAAAATAAATTAAATACACAATGTAGGTCAGAATAAATCATGTATTTTAGGAGATAAGCCTTCATCACAAATATAAAAATGTATAGTTGGGTAGCCATTACACAAATATATAGTTGAGTAGCTAAATATACATTCTGTGATATAATTCCGTGATTTTGGCTTATTTCATTAAACCAACAGACATGCCTGTATCTATTGCACCACTAGGCTCTCTGAGCACCAAGAGCAGGCAAGGCAGGAGAGGTGTCTTGCAAAAGCACAAGACAACTGAGACAGATGCACTAGGGACTTCACCCAATAACCCCACAGTTTCACGATTAATCCCTCCATAGGACTGACTGTCTGGATTCACTTGGCCCCCTTCAAAATGCATCACACACATGTTTGTGTAAACAACAACGACTGTTGCTAATTTCTTTTAGATGATCTGTTGGCAAAAGTGTGAGCCAACAGAATTGACAAAGACTGCTGGATAGATCTTGAAAGCCTGCAGTTCTGAAGTAATCAGAGAAGAGTTGATGGTTGATCATATCCTCATCATCTTGTGTTGTGTTCTCAATCAGAGCATTCTTTAGGAAAAAAACAAGCATACCATCAACACAGGCAGGTTTGGTTCGTGTCATCCCAGCGATCTGTCCTTTATGGCAAGCACAACGGGCTGTCTGATGAGCAACAGTCATCCTGGGCTGGCTGCTGTCTCGATCCAGAGTCACAATCTCACAGCTTCCTGCCACCAGCTGACCTGAGAGCAAGCATTTAAAGAAGAAAAAATTATAATCTACATACAAGACTTTTCCTTCGGTTTGATTTAATACATTCACTAAGTTACAGTCTTGATTCAAATTTAAAGCTAGATGCAGATTTATTTTCTTCATGACTCAATGTTAATACAAGTCTTATTTAGAATTATATTTTATTTAAAACATCTCTGATTAAAGTCGGTGTATCAAAATATGAGTAATTTCACCTCTATAATCTAATTAAAATGTCTCCAATTAAATAAAAAATCATAAGGACGACAAGCATTCATATATAAAAAATATATATATATATATATATATGCTGAACTTTTTCATATAACATCCTAAATTGGATTTTTCTTGCTTTTTTCCATTTCTGTTGTGCAATGAAGACAAACCGTTAAACTGTCCCATCTCAGATCTTTTCTACTTTATTTTTTAAATCAAAAAAAGCATTCTATCATATGTTTTAAGTTAAACAACAATTGCAGGGTAGAAAATACATAGTTAAAACAGAGTGCTATACACTTCTTTACAATTTTGAATATTGGCCCCACAGAATCGACCAACTGAAAAAAAAATGTCATGTGGTAAAGACTGAATCTATATTCTTATTAGTGTTGCTCTGATGTCATTTTTGGCCCTGATACCGATATCCAGCTGTGTAGTATTGGCCGATACCCATACCATGCCGATACCATCTGTTTAAAATAGATGTGTTTGTGTAATATGAAGAACTTCATACTACTTGGATGTAAAATAATTGCCATCATGGCTTTGTCAAGCTGCTGCCTACCTTTGTGAAGCAGGAAAAAGGCTAATAAAAAGTGAATCCAGTAGAACTTTTTATTGCCTACCCAGAAAGGGTGACAATAGTTTAACAAACTTTTGGCTCTCAAAATGGTATCGGTGCCCTATTTGTTGGTATTCCCCGATACTGGTATGGGTACCGGTGCAACACTAATTCTAATATCATGAAGTAATCCATGACCAATAGCAGAATACTTTGAACAAAAATAAAACAAAGATAGACATTTTTGGAAATGTGTTTATTGCACTGCAGTCATTTCAAATAGATGGGGTTAATCTCCAGGCTGTTCACACCACTGGTCAGAATATAGTGAGCCAGCGTCGGGTTGTGCATCAACCTGCTGTCGAGTGCTCCCCGGCATTTTTTTGATCATCTCTATGATTTTGTCAGCCCTCCACAGTGTGGCTGAATTTCCACACCGTGGTGTCCTCCTTGTCAGTCTCCATGTCACTCTGAGGGCCGCCACCACCCCTTCCATGTATTCCAGATCTACATCAGATCGCCATTGAGTGACTTTCTAGCGATCTCCTTGTGTGAATTAAGCAGCTGTAAATTAAAACAAAATAAAAAAAGCAAGTTAAATTTAATGATAACAAATATTTATAATTTTTCTTCTCAACTTTTCACTTCATCGCACGTTTGCATTAAAACTGCTCCATTGCAGAATTTGCTTTTTTCTTGCTTTATAAAACTAAAACTTGGGAAACAAAAATAGATATCCCTGCTTAGGGTTGAAAAGGTGCTGGTTGGTCAGAGCCTGCTGAGAAGCAGGATTATTGCAACTGCAGGTGCAGAGCTGGTTGAGAAAGATTATGCACACCACTTCTCTTAACCTAGTACATAAATAATGCATAAATTGAGCATTTTCTCGAGGAGGATCATTATTGTGCAATGATAGTAGCCCTACTATAAGGTAAATGAAATCATCACTATATCCATTTACAATGAAGTGAGAATTAATATTTAAAACAGACTAATTTGTTTCCCCGCAGACAATCACACCCTCAACTCCCCTATGAGATCTGATCTTTTCCAATATAAAAATGTCATTGGTATTGCCATCCTCCGTTCTAAAGCTAAAATCCTTGGTATGAAGTAATTCAACCATGACTCAGTTGTCCAACTTTTCTGAGGTTAGGTGTAGGTGATAAAGCACAAAATTAAGGCCAGGCCATCCTCAGCTTCTTGGGAAAGAAAAAGAAAACCAGAGAGGCATACTGATGTCACCCCGGTTATTTGTACACTTTATTTATTTTACAAGAGTTAAATAAATATAACTTATAAATAAAGGGAAGGGACAAAAGAAAAAAATGCAGTATTGCACACTCAAATAAATGAACTAGAGCAGTTGTCCACTTTATTGATTGTTGGTTTAAACAGTACTTTCTGGGAAAATAAAGTGTTCGGTTTTAAACCAATTAAAACACTTTTTATACATCAGCTAAAAACAAATATTTTGTTTTATAAGAGTGGACAACTGTCATGGTTCTCTTTTTGAGTGTATAGTGTTAAAATTTACAACACTAGATACAACCTAAACATTTTTTCCTTGCCAAAATGACCTTTTTAAATCAGGAGACATTCTTCGTATCAAAAATAAGCATTCTGGATGTCTAGAAATAAATTTCAGATCTCCATATTCCTATTGTTACTGGTTATATTTTTATATTATTTTGATCAGACAGAAATATATTTCAGATATCAAAAATACATATTCAGTCAAGCTAATAAATGTGAAAACAGCCAATTAAAATGTGTAAACATTAGACTTACTGATAATTTTGTTGAAATTTTTACTCTTAGGTGATGATCTTGAGCTCCTTGTGGAAGTAATGGGTCTTCTGCAGTCCATTTTCTGATTCATTTCTTCCACTCTTCCTCAGAGGTGGTGCAATTTGCCACCTAGGTTGGACACAGCCTGGTGCAATTTACACAGAGATCTAGGAAAATAAATATTTATTGTGTATATGGCAAGGGGACATCACAGGAGAAACTGTAAACATTCGACAGATAAACCCAATGATCAGTCAGGAATCCTGTAAGAATGTGATAGAAGGGAGGAGGACTTCACAGGCGGTTTGAGCTTTCACAGACTTACAAGGTCTAGGCTGATCTCAGAGCTTGAAAGGCAGAAACACAGTCTGAACAGTAAGGGCAGAGACAGGCAGATTAGTCAATAAGCTCGTGATTTCATCCACAAGCAATCAAACCATGCTTACCTCCATACGCCAACAAACGAGATGTTGATATCAATTGCACCTTCCCTTGCTGCTGGTTCGAGCTGTAGCTGTAAACAACTTACTCCTCTTTGTCTGCACTTTTTTACACTGGCTGTACCAACAGCTTCAAACTTAAATGTCATTGGTCATTAGAAACATTGAGGCAAAATGAAAATGATTGGTGTTGATTTTTTTTCCAGTAGCACCACTTTATTTTTCCAACTGGTGAAATTTAAACAGAAGTATTAGAGAAAATCTAAATCATTTGAGTGAATATCATGTAGCCTTGTTACATGCTAAACAAAAAAATGTAAAGACTTTATAGGTTAGAATGTTGAGGCTACAATATCAATATAAATAAAAAAAAAGTTAATAGTCACAATTATATTTTTAATTTCCATGTATGTCATAGATGTGTACGGATTTGTAGTAATGACAACAAAGTCATGCTAATGACTGTTAATTACCTTCTTTTTTGTCATTTTAACTGTGGAAAAGCCACACTAACATTTTGCTGGAAAATACCTGTGCATTATTAAATGTTTTGTATAACGAAAAAAATCTGACATAAAAAAGGAACAATTTGGAATACTCCAATATATATGCTTGGATGTTTGGCAGATAAAATTTTTATGGATTTGTCAGGATCTTACCTGTATATCTGACACATCCATAAACCCCTATCTTTCAGTATATTTAAAGGATTCAACACTTCTGAATCCGTTCCGGATATGTTGTTCAGATAAATTAACATGCTTGTAATCATCTTTTTCTGTCTTATTAATTCTGATCACTGAATTTATGTTCATTGAAAACGTTTTCAGGCTTTTATAAAGACTAAAAAATGACAAAATTTCACAACACTCAGATCCATAGCCATGATGTATGTGTATATGAAAGGATTTTTGACAGATCAGATCTGACCACATTTGTCTGGATATTTTCTGGATAATTGACAGATCCATATACTGTGATCTTATTATATTTTCCAGGATACCAACCCTTTTTGTCCAGGGTGTAAAACTGGCAATCAGTTCCATTGAAGAGGAGCTTGATAACTAAAAGTTCATCCTCCAATTCCACTTTTGGAAATTCTAGGAAACACAAGTTAACCTGCTGATTGAGGGTGAAGTGCTCTGTTAGGAATGTAATTAACAACAAGATCTCTGAAATAAGATGGAGTTTGGTTATTTAGGTTGTTATAAATGAAAAGGCTTTTACATGCTATGCTATATTTTACAAGAAGACAATAAAGGGAAGCTTAAATAAGGAGTGTGATCTCTCTTTATATTTATCTGCATAACTCTTGCTGTAGCATTTTGGATTGGCTGTTGGTTAATGACTTCTTGAAGGTTAAAATGACTTCATGATATTAAAAAAAGCAATAGTCAAACCTTGAAGTGATAAAGGCAGGAACTATTTTCTTATTATTACCCCTTGAGAAGATATTTAGATTTTTTTACCATATCCCTCAGATAAAATAAGTACATTCTAGAAATCTGATTGATGTCAGAAAAGTCATGAAGAAAAATAACACAAATGTTTTTTACATTACAGCTATTTATTGCTGCCCAGATGAAGTGGCTGACTATTTTTTTTATTTTTTTTTGTCTAAAGATAATAACTTCTGTTTTGTCTTCATTCAGAAGCAAAAAGTTTAGCGTCGTCTGGGATTTTACGTCTTTAAGACATGCATGTAGTCTATGAAATGGAAATGTTTCGTCAGGATTTATAAGAAATATGCTCGAACTTAGTTAGATAATAGATAACATTTTATAGCTCATAAAACTTGATCAAAACCAGCCACTTCAAAGGGTATCATCCCATTAAATCAATTATTAGTGGTTATCAGTCCCATAGAATGCCATTAGATTGTCCCTTCTACCCGCCAGTAGACTCAGGTTATCACCCAAGGAATCCTAATCCTGAGGTATTTCCTTTTTTACCCGCATAAACGGGTGTTTAAGTAAAGAATGATGCACAGAATGTTGATTCTGATATTGTTGAAAAGGAAACATTATGTTTTACAGAATAATGTTGGGAATTGGCACTAATGTTTTAAAAAAATCTACATTGACAGTGAACCCTTGTTAGTACTGTTTTGTATTAGAAGTATATGAGAAAAATACACTGAATGAAAAGCATTTACAGAACAATGTGATGTAGTGGACTTAACCTGTAAGTTTACAATCACATGTTTTTTTAATAATAGGTCACTAATTAAGTTGGCCTGTCCGAGGCATGAAATTCCAGAGCTGAAAATGAGTCCCACATTGTCCTTCATTGTCTGGTTATGGTGGACCGGGTAGCAATTATATGAGAGACAATTAACAATTTTGATTATTTTTTTAATAACAAAATATTCAAATTTTGTGTCATTTATGGGTTTAATGTGTCTTTTTAAACAGACATATGAGTCTTAAGATCTGGGGCTATTTGGAACAACATGCGGTGTTTACGCCAATATTATACTTGTATAAATACTTACTTCTGTTTTTTTTTTTCTTTCCTTACTTTTCAACTCAGCTTTCATGTGCTTCATCTCTCCCTCTGATCTACACTGTATCTCTGGATGTTCTCTTTTAATGGAGGTGTTACAACAAAATCTGTGACCCGTTATTTATGTGACTCAAGCGCAGGCTGTCTACTAACCCTAACTTTACAGGATTCATACATAAACCTAATGTCACTAAATGAATACCTACTCTTAATGACGTTTATTGAGAAATACATACATGTGACGGGTCACAGGTTATGTTGGAACACCAGGTCGCTTTTATCTGCAGTTCAGTGAGTGGACAGAAGGTCAGCGGGTCCCAGAGCACCGAAAAAGGTGGGGGGGAAAAGAAACAAAGCTTACGTTGATTCAGCAGGAGGCCGTGGAGCAGCAGGATGCAGACCGCAGCGGCAGGCAGAGCCCAGGCCAGCCGGTGGAGCAACATGAGGGAGACCGCAGGAGGATCCACGTTGTGCCGCGTCCTCCTCACGACCTCACATTTAATCCGATCCGAGCCAGAGGAGGACCAGTAGCACTCACTATCAACATCATCATCATGTAGGTTGACTTAAATTAGAACCATCAGAACCGATATTTTGTTTTAAATACAATCAGATTTTTGGTGTTCCAACACTTTCTATATAGTCCCATATGTTTTTGCAGCTGGGAAGAAGTTTTCCAACTCTCAGTCCGCTCCTGGTGTTCAGGTCCTGGTTCGGCTTAAATCCACAGTGGGCTTCGATCAAAGGTGCTGCTGAAGTGGGCTTGTTGAGTTTGTTTCTCCGCTACAACCTCACAGAGCCCCGCTGCTGCTGCTGCTTCTCATGGGATCCTCTGAAAGCTTTCTCTATCCCTTAGTCCATAGTACTCCATTTTTTTCTTCCTTTTTTAATTTCAATTAAAGAATAAAGTTCAACCATAGGATACATATAACAAATAAATTGGCCTATACCAGGAGGTATGCCACAATAAAAGAGGAAAGAAAAAATAAACTGATAAACATATGTGCTGAGGAGCAATAGCAGGACAAATCAGAGTCGGCCGGAGGCGGGGCAAATGACCGCTCCTTTAGTTCATCAATATTTTACCATTTTACGCCATAAAGATACCAGCAGCAGCGGAGCTTACAAGGTTCAGCACCACTAAAAACAAGTATGGCATTTTGAAGTCAAAGAAACATGTAATATAACACTCCAAGAGAAGATGAAACTCATTAGGCTGCAGGGTGCAAAACAACACAAATCCAAAGCAGATCAGCACCATGGATAGCAACTGGATCATACTTACACCCATCAATATATTTCCTTTTAAATATTTCAAACCAGTAACTTTTACGCGGCTCACATGTTCATAAACACAATTTCATCATGAAGTACTTTAGGTCACCTTACTACTATTTGAAGGGCATATGATGAGTCTTGCGCTCCGCGAACTCATCCACAATACTCTGAATTTCCATTTTCTTTGCTCTCTTATTCTCTATTGCAGGGGAGTCCAAACCTTTTTTTAGCGAGGGCCCAATACAAAAAACTACACCAAGGGCTGGGCCACATTCTAGATGTGACATAGTGATGCATGAATACTGTGTATATTTCCTTTTTTTACTCCTTAATTACTTCACATAAAATAAATGAATATATGCACTCAACACATATGCAAAGAACACATACTAGGATATACTGTGTGTATATCTAACTCACATATAATGAGAAGAACATTGCATCAGTGGGAGCAGTGACGCTGTCCTTTGGATTTAAGGATGTCTTACATATCAGTAGAAAGTTTGGTGGTAGAGACACAAAGGGCTTCACAGGGATGGCTATCACTTATTCTTGTTCTCAGTCTGCCTTTGCTCTGATTTAATAGAGAAAATGTATGTTCATATATGTATGTTGAACCGAACAGGCTCATAGTTCTTTTTTACGTGCATTTCAACCAGTTCTAACAACAGACTCTCTTCCACTTATTCTGCATCTATCAGGAAGGGGGTTGAGAACATCTTTATTTGTTTTTCAATGACAGAAAAATCTTGGAAACGCTGGTTAAATTCTGTCGCAAGAGATGCAATCACAGATCAGCACCATGGATAGCAACTGGATCATATTGACTGCTATACATAATAATATCATGTCATATCATGCCTCAATGTCAAATGACCAGCAGTGAACCCCAACCTACAGTAAATCCAAGGTTGGAATACACAAACTTTCCTGTTTGAGCTAGGATACATAACTGCAAGTCAGCAAAAGACAGAAAAATTTCATAACACAATCACTTAAAAGAATATTGCTGTAGTGCCAAGAAAGCCAGTATTACAGCTGAGAGCCATTTATGTCAAATGGTGTTTGGTGGTGTTTATGTCACTCTGTGCACTAATGCTCTACTGCTCCTGAAGCACCAGCAGGAGTGATGTCATCACCATCACCATCACCACCTTTGAATAGCAAACATATGCTAACAGTGTTCTTCCATTCACTGACCAGAGACCTTTCGTGTCTCTGGATATCACACTGTGTTTTAAACTTAAACACAAATACAAAACACAACAAATTTTTTATAAGGTACTTGCATCTTTTTTTTTTTTAATGGCACCATGGGTGGGGGCGGGGGGGGCTGACTAAATCTGTTTCTTTTCTGCATTTGGCCGCATCCTCGTCCAGCGCCTCTCTTTTTTTTTTTGGGAAATGGGAAACAGTTTAAGGCGGTTTAGCTAAACGATTCGATGCTTGAGTGTAGTTTAAAAGATTGTTCTCTTCTTAGAGATTTTAACCACAAAAAATTACAAAAGATTTTATTATACACACCAATCGAACAATTTCAAAGAAACTTAAATGGGGAAAAAGCAAGAAAAACAATTGCAAACATTTGCAAATGTAGCATATCTGTAAAAAACAGTATATTATATTTTAAATTAATGCAAATGGCTCATAACAAATAAGTTCAATAGGCTAGTTCTCAGAATATAGGTACGACTCATGAAACAGCAGACAGAGACTAGAAGTTTGCAGTTGCGAGTGCTTTGTATTTATAGTGAGGAAAATTTTATACATATTTACAACATCATTGAATAATCCGAATAGCCATATAAAATGCGCAGAAAAAGAAAGAAAACAAAACAATAAAGAGGAAAAAGAAAAACAAAATTAATCAATTCCACAATTAATGAAACCACATCCCTTCAGTCCATTCACCCCAAGCTGGGGTTGATTAAAGGTCCCAAGCAAATTCCTCTTTAAAGTGCTTGGTACAGTGCAGGTTGTGGACTGACAAAAGTCAGAGCAAAGTGGAAACAAAATAGTTCGTTGGCTGCAAGGAGCCTCCTACCAGCCTGGCAGGAGATCCAAAGTCTTT